CATTAAAATCTGCCGTAGCGAAAGGGTTAATGAAAGATTAATTAAATTAGTTATCTTCTGCAGATCTATGAAAGTCAGTAGTTCGTGGTATTTGACATTTTGCTTTAGCTCCTCATATTTTCGATATTGTTCAATTTTCTACGTTCATCTCCATTGCAATTTACGCTGTGTTTACAAAAATTCACGTTCTTCTCAATTTTTTACAAATTCTTCACTTTTTCTTCAAGTAATTCCCCCATTGGCGGGCAGAAAAAAAGAAATTCTTCATTAAATTCACCTTTCCGCCGGATTACCCACTCAAACGAGGAACAAAGCGTGATTCTCAAGCGAAAACAAGCGCGAACAGCAAAGAGAAAAGAATGTTCTCGTTGAGCTGGCATCTCGGTTGCGCTTCGCGTCTCTGATAACTTTCCACGAGTAGCAAGTACCCGTGTTTCAAAGTCGAAGAAACCTCGTTAGCCGGCAGGCTCATCAGAAAGAAGGTGAATCGTAATTACGAATCAAGTTGCTCGAGTGACAAAGCTCGTTGTAGCTGCGGTTTTTCTCTCTCGTTACAGTTGAACGAGCTTATGTTCGCGATTTCGAAATAGTCGTGCATTAAAGTCGCGCGTAAACATCGAGACGTCGAGAGATGAATTAACCTAAACTGTTGCGACTTTAGTTCACACGTACCCTAACCGCAGAGGAATTATAAGTTTCACTGAAACGTTGAAACGAAGTTAAAAATATTTCATAGGACTGAATTCTTGATACTTCGATTACCCTTTGTACAAATTTTTTGGGAACATTGAGTCGAAGGATATCCTTTCTCCATTTTCAAATTTCGAATTTCAATTTCCAAAATTGTCGTATACGAATGTGTCAAACTGTGTTATGTTAATTTTATATATCAAATTAAAGTAAAAGTATATTTAAAGTTGTTTAGGTTTCTTTTTTCAATTTTCAAATTTTTCAGAATAAATATTTGTACGATTCTCGGCATTTTGATTGAATTTTCGCTTTGAATTTAGATGCAACGAACATACAGAATTACAGGTTCTCATCTACAGAGCGAATTAATTGGTATATCGATTGATTGGATAATTGTAGATTTCAATTGGATCAAGAAGGGAAAGAAGACTGTAAAGGATAGGGCACTTTTCAAACTAGTAATTGGTTGGGATTTGTAAGTGGCAAAGTTCCAGTTGTTCCATTGCTGCCAGCGACTAATTCGATTTCCATAACCGAAATTTTCGAAACTTTTAAACGGTCCTGCAGTTTCTTCCAACCTCCAGTCCTCCGGGCGAATTTTATCAAAAGACCAATTACGTCATACCAATAACGAACTTTCGATTTTCCTGATCATTCAAACCTATGGTAATCTCTTATCACCATTTTCTTTCGTTCAGAAAAAGAGACGAAGTCAAAGAAAATTATTGAACCAATTTTCCTGATCATTCAAGCCTGTAATGATCTTTTATTGCCATTTTCATTCTTTCCAAAAATACAGACAAGTCAAAGAAAATTATTGAACCAATTTTCCTGATCATACAAACCTGTGATAATCTTCTATTGCCATTTTCTTTCGTTCAGAAAAAGAGACGAAGTCAAAGAAAATTATTGAACCAATTTTCCTGATCATTCAAGCCTGTAATGATCTTTTATTGCCATTTTCATTCTTTCCAAAAAAAGAAAAGGACACCATTACCAGCCAAAGAAAACTGCTAAACCGATCAAGTGAAAGAACGAATCCTCCTTCGAAACCACTTTCTCATTTTCAGCGTTTCCACCGAATGCTCGAGCTGCAGCAACGCGTAACAGCAGATATTCTCCGGTAATTAGAACACATAATCTTCGCTAAATGCCTCCCCATCCGTATGTTTTCAAATCATCGCGACATAATAAACTCTGTTCAAGCCCATCCAGAGGAGAGTGAAATTTTTTAATTGCAGCGATATTCGGAATACGACCCAATTAATGCACTTCAACCGGTCGGATGCTTGAACTTCCACAGTAAATTTATTAACGGACATCCCCGTCCTACTCTCTCTCTCTCTCTCCCTCTCCTTCTCCTGTCTATTCTACTTGAGTTTTCCGTGAAATATCTGTCGCTTTGTGCCACGTCGCTGGTGTGTTTCGTTGCGTCGTTCGACCGATTTAAACGGCCGGCATTATTTGCAGGATTTTTAATCCGTGTTAAGTGAAAACACGTAAATCGAAAAAAGGAAAGAGAGCGAGAGAGAGAGACTAAATGAGGCGATCTTCTAGCAGCAAAAATCGGCATTTCCTCGTTATGGACAAAGTCGTCTCCTGCGTTAATTTAACGAACGAACAGCCTTTGCTAGTGTCTTTTTTCCTTTCGATGAAAAATCCCGTAGCTTTACTCACCCTTCAGTCCTCCTCCCTCGTTTCGCATGTTCGTTTTTGTTATTTGGAAAATTTTAAACGCTGTGTGTGTGTGCAGTCGCGTTGATAGGAATAGCCGGCCTTTTTGCTCGTCGCTAATTTTCCTCGGGAAGTTTGCAAACTTTCAGAGCCATTTTTTATCGATGCCTGGCTTTTTTGCCAGTCTCGACGCAGTAGGGGAAAAGAGGAAAGGAAAATAGAGAAGGAAGGGCAGAGAGAGAGAGAGAGAGAGAGAGGGAGGAAGGGATGAAAAAGGGAAAAAAGAGATCCCGATATACGAGTTACCGTGGTCCGTTTCATATTTCAAGGTCCTCTCTCTCTCTCTCTCTCTCTCTCTCTCTCTCTCTCTCTCTCTCTCTCTTTTTCTCTCGTTCGTTCGGAGAACCGATATCTCAGCGGAAAATTTCGCCAGAGTTCCGATGGAACTTCGTAAATTGAACGTCCACCGGCGAGCGTTGGTGATTTTTTCATACGCCGATATCGCGCAGCCCGTTTGAATTATGCACTGCGAAAGGAGGGCTGGACACACGCTCGATTACTGAGAACCATCGGCCATGCTCTTTTTTCGACGCTCATGCGTGCTTTGAATGGAATTTAAGCCGACACACGTTTCTATCTTTCACTTATACCCGGAGGGATCACGCGAAAAAAGACCAACGTCTTCGGAGGGTGAATAAGATGGAAGACAAATTTTTTGTACATTTTTTTTTTGGAATCAAAGAGGTTCCATTTATTTCACCTTATAAACTTTGCATTTCTCTTATCCTCGCAGCAATGAGTGTTTTTTTGTTTTTTTTTTTAAGATTACGTATATCTTTTTCCACTCCATGCTGTAGCAAACGACCATAAACTCTGAAATTTTACATCAAATGTGAAACTTCTTTTCATTTTTTGCCACTTCTACCATAAGAAAATTGTAATAAAGTAAACGACCGATTTACTCGTTCTACTTGAAACTGAAACAAGTGGAATAATCTGCAATTAGTGAAACACAGGAAAGAAAGTTTCAGCGGTTGAATTTCCTTTCTAATTTAACAAATGTTGACTTTTGCGTCAAATAAATGAATAATGTAGAAGAAAGTCGGCAATTCGTTGAGACAAAACATTGTAAGAATCTCGTTTCAGTAGAAAGCAAGAGCATTAGTCAGACGAAGAGGAGAAAATTTATCTTTATCTCGAAAAAATTTCACTTTCCTGTAGAATTCCCTGCAAACCTTCCTTCCACTCGACATTTCAGTAAACAATTAATCCATTTATTCAATCAAACAGCAAAATATCGCGAAATAATCGTGCAAGTGGAAACCATTCATATTAGCCAGCCACAGAGAAAGAATTTCTTCTGAAACTTCGATAGCATTCACTTTCCTGTAAAACGAGTTAACGTACTGAGATGAAAAATGAGTCGATTTATCCCGACCGAGGACAAAACATTAAAAGTGAAATCTGCCAAGTAGAAGTAGACCGTGTTTGGTCAGACACGGCGGAAAGAATTTCACGTGATATTTCCACGGTGTTGTATATGATCGTATTCCAAGAAAATTTCGAGTTGTATTAAGAAAAATTAAGATCGCGAGAATAATTGGAGGAAGGGAGGCGACGCTTGGTAGCTGTAAAATCGATTCGAATTCTCTTGAAAAGCCTGACGGGAGCGAACTCTTTATTTGCTTCAGTTCGTTGGATCGTTTCCTAGAAGAAGGTTCCCTGGAATTAAAGAAGAAAAAGATATATTGACCGGTCTCGGTCTGAAAGGGAGCCGGTCTTTGTGTTGTTTTGATCGACGATAGAGTGTGTCTTTGTTGTCATCGGTAAAATGAACTTTCGGAATAGAGAATTTCTTCTGCGTCATGCTTCGCCGTCTAATACTCCTCGAACGACAAACATATCGGGATTCTCGGTGATTCTTACTTGTTGTTCACGTTGTACGATTCTGTTTCGTAGTTTAGACAATATTTCGTTCTAACCTCATACCAGAAGAATTCGAAAACTATATATAATATATATAATCATTTTGCTGTAGTCAATTAAAGTACTCTTTTAAATTCCTCATTTGCTAAAAAGTGTGCAACAAAATGTGTTCCTCCTTGCAGGCAGCATTTTTACCTTTAACTTGATCGGTCCTATGTGACAAATTGAACAAGTACCATCACTAATTAACACTTCAAGCCAAAATATCCCATTCAGCTAGCTACTTTTTCGTAATTGAATTATTCCTTATCCATTCTCTAGCTATTTTTAGTAGGAAATATTTGTATTTCCTTTTTTTTTGTTTTGTTGATTATAGCTGTAGTAAAGTTTGAATGCACTGAATTGACCAGAAAAAAGGCTGCATATGTGAAAAGCAAACTGTTAAGCACAAATATGTACGTCAAACTTCCAGTTCACAAATATCAAAATACTATGCTTGATTTCACATATTCGTGTCACACGTTTCTGCAGAAAATTTGTACGAAACGAGGCATTGTTTCGAATTAGAAATTGTCAACAAACTTGATCGATCATTATACGAGACAATTCTGAAAACAATTCTTCGTAACTCCCAACATTGTTTACTGCCTTTAACAAACAAACAAAAAAAGAGCAAATAGAAGCAAGAGAGCAATCTCGATAGCGCAGTAATGGATCATACAAACATACAAGCAACTCAGCAGAAAGCGACTCAGCAGCAGCAGTCGTCCAAGCCGAAAAATCGCCAGTAAGTCGCGTCTGGTTTCGTATGAAAGCCTTCTACCTATCTATCCGGACCACTGCTACCCTCCTTCCTTGAGAAATGGAGGGGCGGTTTCCATCTGTGGCGGAATGTCAGTAGATGAAGAACAGAGATATACAGGGTGAACCACCTAACTCACACACCTGAATATCTCCCGAATTACGCGACGGTTGACAAGTTGCAGTAAAGAAAAATTGCACGATTTCGAGGGGGACGTAACATAATCTACGCTGCTGCTGATAAGTTTAATCACCGCGATTTCCGGAATACCGTGTGTACAATCTTAATTATTTCCAGACACAGATATCTCGAAATTGAGTGAAGGAAATGGTATGGTCATTAACGTCCTTAAATTTCTTTTTTCACTCTCTGCAAGTATATTAAGAAACAACGCAGGCTTCCATTAAAAAAACCGCAATACCCTTGAAATCTCCTAAAAAAAGTGACTTTGAGAAAAAGCTGAAGCAGTGTAACTTCGTTCTAAGAAGTTTTTTCACAGAACAAACAAGGAAAATAATTAGACGATCCGGTTTAACTCAGCCACCCTGTATGGACATAGAGATTAGACAGAAAACTAGGATGGAAAAACAAGTTCGTTTCGTTGTGTATCCCAGGGGACACGTCAACAAGGCTACCTACGAGACCCTCACCTTCGACTCAAGGGACAGTTACGAACTCAGGTGAAAAATTGTACTCGTATGAATAGCAGCAGTCTTGTTGAGGACTTGTGAGAAAGGTTTTTGGTGTTTCGCCAATTAGTCTCCCTGCCGGTGTAGGCGTAAGAGGTCCCGTCACACATCCGAGCAAGGGCCAAGCAAAGAATCTCTCCTCCCCTGCCCCGTAGCCGCGTTTAATTTAAATAATAAACGCCGTGTCTGCCGTTGCATCCGGCAGCGATGGGAGGGGGATGGTGGCGGTGGTGCGGTGTTCGGTGCCAAAAGCTGTCCGAGGAGGACAGATCGTTAACCAGGCAGTAAAGCTTCGAGCTGTACCCGGCCAGACGAGCGTAACGACGAACGCAACTCGAACAACCCCCGGCCCCCCTTTCCCTTTTCTAACCATCCACCCCCTCATGTCTGGCCACCCTTTCTCGACCGCCTCCGGCCGAACTTGGCTGGCCAACAAGATACGCCCCAGACGATCGCCCGCCGCGAAAGTTTTCCCATTTTCGGGTGAATCGATGCACATAATTCGACGCATACGCTCGTCCGTGGTGGACGTCCGTTCCGGTTTCCTATGGTCGGCCACGTTCGCCAAACCCCCCGGTTCGCGTCCTTTGTCTTCGCGACGCATAACCGCGTATTTAAGCGGCGCGCGATGGGGAAAGTTTTTCGGTGACAGAGCCGCGGGAGGAGGAAACAGGCTTGGCTGAGTTTATTTCGGGGAACGAAGAGAGAGAGACGAATTTTACGTGCTTCTTTTCGGATGTACTAAGGTTTCTGTTTTTCTCTTTTTTTTTAATGGTTTTTTGTTTGATTAGGACATTGTGTTTATGGGTGCATGGCGTTTGGTGTGTAATACGTGATACGAATGAGAAGAGTGGGTATTGAATTGTAATATGTTGTTAATGAAGGTAGGAAGTAGGTAAAATGGAAATTTTGGAAGAAGAGAAAATGGATATTTTTGTGGAAGATATTTTGAAACTGATACATCATGAGTCAAAGAGAATTCTTTTGTCTGCACGTCATGAGGATTACACATCGGCACTTTGTGTTTTATTGAAGAAGTAAAATAATGGATGCTTCACGATGAAAGAAAAAATGATTTTAATCAAATTTAATATCCGGAGATTTATTTAAACTTCTACGCTTTCTGTTTAAAAATTGAAGGACCTCTTAAAAATTTCAAAAAGTCACTTTATTAATTTGCAAGCCTAAAATTTCTGCTTACGATAATAAAAAATATCTTGCACGACGAGTAACACACTCTCGATCAATTATCATTCTTAGTTATTTAACCTGTTAGCTGAAATCATCTCTTAAGCAGAAATAGAATCTCTCCGGTTTACAACGAAGTACGAGTAAAAATGATAAACAATTATTTAATTTTAATTTTCACGAATGTGAGTGTACTGTATTTTATATCTAACACAGGCATGATAATACAATTAAAAATGAACAGTCTTTCAATAAATGAACTACTCTGTTCTAAAGATTTGTGAACCAATGACGAGTTGTTTAATTAAAACGAAAATAGTACACTTTGTTTAACATAAAGGACGTAAAGAATACTAATCATCTAATTCACCGTTTCATCGCGTATATCCAACTTCGTCCTCTGATCCTCGGGCGAATCAGCAAAGGAGAATATCCTCGAACTTACAAATAGCAGAATTAAGTCGACGCGATGGCGGTGGTTCGTTCCTAGCCAAAATTCAACGAGCTCCGTTCGTACGGCACGAAAGGAACATACACGGAGAAGCGTGTTCCGGTTTGTAAGAAAAATGCGCGACGAATTCTCGCCCGAGGACCAATATTTCAAGCCGGGGCGAACAGAGTTGCGCCAGTAAGTTACCAGGCAAGTTCACGCAATGTAGCGCGAACCAAGCACCGTCGTTGTTTCAACTGCTCGAGGAATTGAGCAAATGATGCAAGCCACGGCCATTTCGATATTACGCTCACCCAGAGAAGAAATCTGTCGACGACCTGGATAATTCGATTGGTTAGTCGTCTGAAAAACGAACGATCGGAACTCGAAGCTGTGACCCGGTCGACCGTAGAAAGCAGAGTCTCTCGTCCTCCCCCTCTTTCGCCTGTCTGCGATCAGATTAAAACGGCCAGACGTTGTTTCGATATATTTTCACGATGGACCGGAAAAGGGCAGACTTTGATTCGCGTCGATTTGAAATTTAACGAGCTGGCGTGTTGATACGATTAAAGCTCGTTGGAAAGTATCGAAGGATGAGACAATTGGAGCGTTGACGTCGATCAAATTTCGACACAGCCGGCGAGTAAAGTCGAGCTTGATCCGATGTCTATTTTCCAGAAGTGACAATCTTTTCGAATTGATCGAGTTCTTCCTTCCTTTCCTCTGGATCGTTCGTTCGCTTCGGGACGATTAATCTTGCGATTAGTTTGTTCGTTAATTCTTCGATGAAGTATCAATGTTAATTTCGATGGCGAATTTAACAGTGGATTGGGTGCACGTTTAGCGAGTATCGATCGGGAATAGGTTTGTTTCATCTGAAATTGAAAATGTGCAAATATTGGGTTGAATGAGAATGTTAATTGTAATAAATCATTCTGGTAACATTATATTTGAAACAACTTGGAGAGTGCTGTATTTGTAGATTTTAGTCTGAATTTTATAAAAGGGGCCAATGAAATTTAAATCGTGTGTTTAGAAAGGCGGTAACGTTGAAAAGCAACGAGCCAGTAAGTGAAAGTGGTCGGTGTATGGTCAGACGCGTATCTTATTAGACGCGACAGAAAGTGATACGTTCCCGTGTGCATTCAATATTCCCGGTAGCAGAGTTGAGCGCGTGAAGAGAAAGAACGGAACAGCTTCAGAAATAAATGAGATAGAACGAGTAATTTAATCTAAAAACGTAATGCACTTGGTGAACTTTTAATGGCGCGCGAAGCGAAAGGGGAGAGCGAGGAATAATGAAAACGAGCAACAACAATTCGTTTAAATCATCATAAGCATTCCTGGTGGTCGTATTCAACACTCAACACACTTTCGAAAATAAGGAAAACGAGAAAAAAAAGAAGTGAAAATTCCCACCGGATGAAAAAAAAAGGAGCTTTTTCAACCAAGTTCTAACAGTAACATATTTCCTCGAGTAAAATAATGCGAAAGAAGCAAAAATGCTTCTTTGTTAAAGAAAGAAGGAATATCTCGTAAAGTACGTCAAAATTTCTTCGAATTTTCTAAATTTATGTTCTGTATAATCGTTGTAATTCTCGGTAGAATTTTTCGACTGAAATTAACCCTCGAAGAATTTTTTTGAATTCTTTTGAGAGTTAAAATAGTCTATTTTATACTTCGGATTGGGAGGCCACTCGTTTGGAATGCATGAAAATCTGAAAATCAATGGTCTTTGGTATGAAACGCAGGAGCTGTACCAGGACTTCCGGGTAATTTTTTTCAACATTGATCGGAAATGTAGAAAACCACACAAATATGTACTTAAATCATATTTTTAATTCTGTTTCTTTGTGATAATTGCAAAAACAGTTGTTGCTTTTGTTATAGCAGAGATGTACATTGCATTTCACGCAAAAGGAATATGGTTCACTTTTAATGCATAGAGTGCATCCTTGTCTAGATACGCTGAACATTGGAAAATGATCTAGCGAGTCAGATCTTATACCTTCGATGGGTTCCTTGGAAAATGAATGGTTGTCAATATGGTAACAAATAATACATAAAACTCGTTACAGAATGATTGCCTGTTCTAAGTATCTGTCATTGATTTTGAATTACTAACTATTAAGTCTTCCCATAAGTTCGTGCCAAAAGCGAAAAATATTTTTTAAAAATCCAAAGAAATTTTATAGCGACGACATAATGGTCCTACCAAAAAAAAAGAAAGAAAAATAGAAAAAAGTTATGGAATAACAAAATCACTTATGTTTCTTATTATCAAATTTGAAGGACCGTTGACAATATTGATCTAAATTATAAAATTCGACAGAAACTTGTGGGATAACCTAACATTTATCAACAGAAAGGTTTCCTTCATACAAAAAAAGTGTCCTGGACTTGCGATCCCGAGGGCCATCCTCCGCGAGGATGTTTCCAAGTTAGCGGAGTGGGACATGATCGCGGCTAGGGATTCGGACCCAAGGGGCGATCGTTCCTAACGGGGCTCAGAAGTTTCGGGTCAGCAAGTGGCTTCACAACGCGTCTTTAGCTATCGAGTGTTAGTTGAGGCGCACCAGAAAGGCATTTGTCTTTCTGGGCCCCGACCTCGACGAAACAGATCAATTGAACAATGACTATAGAAAAGAAGGAACACAAAGTTAAAAACTGAATATCTGATTGTTTACGGAGAACGAGAAGTATTCATTGTCACGTTCGGTAGCGAACACAAGATTCGATTAAGAGCAACGACGAAATTCTCAGGAAACGAATTCAAGTTAAAGGAGA